TAATATGTAGGTGAAGAAACATCACAGAATCAAAGTTTATAGTAATTTTATATATTTTTTTTATAATTTTATATATAGGGGGTCCCACAGCAAAAAGTGGCTATGAGCTAGCCAATTAAAATTTAAAATTTTATTATAATAATTTATTTACATATTCTATTTTTCTAAAAATAATTTTATTTGATTAAATTTATTAGTAAAAAAGTGTATAAATTTAATTTTTTTATCGCTATTATCATAGTAAATATTAATTATGTAATGATCTTCAATTATGATTTTCTCAAAATCACATGATTGTCTCACAGCTACCTTTTGCTGTGGAACCCTCCATATATAAAAATTTACAAGCAAAATAGTATAACAAATCATGTGACTGATATTTATAATAGTTGGTTTTAAAATAAATGTGCTTATAAAGAAAAATTCTATATGAGTGCTTATATATAGAGAAGTTTGACTATACTATTATAACTATTCTAATTATTTTTTCCTCTTTTAGAAGTAAAATATGTATTTTGAATATACTTGATCTTGAAATGTTTTGCTTTTAAGCCACCTGATTGATGTAGTATTTTATGAAAAGGATTATTAGTCTTCATTAGATTAGCTTGTAATTTTGCTTTTTCAACAATATTTTTCTAATATATTGTAATATAGAAAACCTATATCGGTTAATTACATTACTTGACTTAATGTGCAGAGGGCAAGGAATGTGTGGGAGAACAAAATAAACTGATACAAGAACTAAAACAAAAATTAAAATAAAACACAAGAAACCTAAAAGAGAATACTCAAGAATGATAATAAAGCAATATAACTAAAATACAATAAAAAGAGCCTTCACAACATAATAGGTAAAAGATAAAAATCAAACAAAAATATAACCAAAATACCAAAAAGAAGGCCTTCACAATGTAGTGGATGAAGGATAAAAACAACCTAAAATATAATAGAAACACAATAGAAGAGAGCCATCACAATATAATAGATGAAGGATAAAAACAAAACCAAAACAAAACCAAAATATAAAACAAACACAATAAGAGAAGCCTTTACAATATAATAGGTGAAGGATAAAAACAACACTAATTATTTTTATTATATACTTGTTCCAGGTTCCATAGTCTTAGGATAATAGTATTAAAGTAAAAATAAACGCGTTTCGATGCTGCGCCTCGAGACTTGTTTATTTTTAAGCCGCTATGTAACAAACTTCGGTTGTTACGACACGGTGTTGGAAATTACTTATAATATAAAAAAAATTTTGAAGCCACAAAATAAAAAATTCTCGCATAAAAAATATAAATAAATGCAAAAAAATTTGGAGCCAAAAAAAAAAAAATTTTTGGAGCCAAAAAAAAATTTGCAATGATTAATAATGATAATTTTATTAAACTAATTAAAGATGAATATTTTTTCTTAAACGATGATGTAAAAATTGTAAAGATTTATTTTAAAAATAATAGTATTTTTGAAGCTTAATAAATTTAACAAAATAAACTATATAAATATTAATAATATAGTTAATAAAAATAATTTATTAATAACATAATTTTTATAATAATTTATTAATAAAATAATTTTAAATTAGTAATATAAATAACTTTATTAATAATAATAATTTTAGAATAGCATATATAAGATAATCCATCTTCTGATTCAGAATTGTAAGCAGACATTTTGTTTTTGTTTGTAAAAAATTAAAGAAATTTTGTAAATAAATTTGAAAAACGAAGGAATTGTTAAAATGTTAGAAGAAAAAAACAAACATATTTTTATTCTAAAAACAAAATTTTCTGATTGGTTTTTATTTTATTAAATAAAATTTCCTTTTCAATTAATTATATTAGTAAAATAAAATTAAAATATAATTTATATTTATTAAATCGAGTAAATTTTTTTATATTGTATAATTTAAAATTTAAATTAATACCAATACAGAAAAAGAATAATGAGTAAAAAAACAAAATAAATGCATTTGTTTAGAGATTTTTTTATACATCTAATTATAATAAAATTTATACATTAAAATTTTTTATTTATATTATTAAATTAAAAAAAATATATAATATTTATATGATAAAATAATTTTTATTTATATTGTTAAATTAAAAAATTATAATAACAATTTATACGATAAAATAATTTTTATTTATATTGTTGTTAAATTAAAAATTATAAATAAATAATTTTTATTCTTACAATTTTATTGGTTTAATAAATCTACTAATTTGGAAACAATCAATTTACCAAATTCGTGTTTTACGAATTTGGATGTTGTATAAAATTCCTTATTCGTATTTTACGAATATGGAAATGATCATAGTATTATTTTTTATAAATATTGAATAAAAATTCTTAGAACAACTTTTCATCACATATGTTTTACAAAACACTCTACTTAGAAAATGGTAGAAAGTCGTTCTAAGAAACTAACAATTTTTTAAGCCAAAGAACAACTTTTGTTAGTAACAAAAACACGATCATCATAGTAAATTTTGGGGGGAAATCGGGTTGACGGCATTTTTTCTATACAAAAGTTTCTTTTCTTTACGTTTTAATACGAAGCATACTAATAAAATTTTTTTTGCTACAAGTAAACATATGAAATGCGAATAATAAAGTTGGTGCAAATGAGTTTAGCGGATTTGTCTGTAAAATTTCAGGTCAAACGGATAAATATTCACGAAATGATGCCAAATTTTGATGAAGCGTTTTCGTATGAGCTTTGCAGATTAAAATATTCATGTAACCATAAACGTCAAATATCTCAAAATTTTATTAGAAAAACATGTAAAATCGTTTTATTAAACTAGCATTATTTTTGTCCATTCTACAACTTTTGTTAATAATACAAAGTCAATTATCTTAATAAAATTGCGAATAAAATACGTTTTTTTGGTCTGACGGAAATTTTGCCGGTATTTTTTTTGGAAAAAAAGATCGTCCGGAGTTTGCTGCGGATCGTTGTTCCATAATTAATTTTTTTTTGTTCCACGCTCTAATTGGCTCTACTATTTAAAACGTGCCGGGTGTTACTAAAATTTGACCAATCAGAACGCTGTTCCAAAAAGCTGTTCCAATGTCGATCTTGCCGATCTTTGACCACTTGCATGAATGTCACTATATCGATAACTACCTTTTTAGTTCACTACTAATTAAAATTAGCATAACTTTTGGTATCACCTTAATGACCGTCACGCTGATGGTCCCACTGGAGTTTTGATTTTAAAATTCTGTTCCGTTCCAAGCTATTCTAGAGAAAGTTTTTAGGGGGGGTATATTTTTAAATAGAGTTATAGATGTATTTATTTTTATAATATATTTGTTCTCTGTTCTTTTCCCCATGGTAATAGTGGAAAGTACAAATAAACGAAATGTATTTATCAAAACAAAAACAAAATCTATTGGATCTTAAATTTTGTCAAAAATATTCACTTGAAATTCTTCCTTCATTAGAAGGTTTAACAGCAATAAGATTAAGAAAAAAAGAATTAGTTAAATGGTTAAAAAAAGAGAATATGAACGAATATGAAGAGTATTTTAGAATAAATTTTCTTCATATTTTTAATCTAGAGACGTTATCTTACTGAAGAAAAAGACACTCTTTCTAAAGATGAAAAAGACAAAACCACCTTCTATTGTTTCAAAAAATCCGCTAATTTAAGTTCTGCTGAAGGATTATTTAGACTCGGTTGCTGTTATTTTTATGGAATTGGAACTGAAAAAAATTGTCATAAGGCCTTGGAATATTATGAAAAAGTTGATAAAGATACGTATACTAATTTGACTGCTTTTATCGAATCGAGTAAAGAAGGTATCAAAAAAGAAAGAGAAGATTTCAAAAAATACGTTAGGGAAGATAATAAAAACAAGCTTGGATATTGTTATGAATATGGAATTGGAACTAAAAAAGACGAATATAAAGCATTTATTTGTTATCAAGAATCTGCCAAGATGAATAATGATGAAGGAATGTACAATGTTGGACGTTGTTATGAACACGGAATTGGTATTATAAAAAATAAGGGCAAAGCATTCATTTATTATTCAGAGGCTGTTGGTTTAGGTTATGTTCAAGCGTATCATGATGTAGGTCGTTGTTATGAAAATAGTATTGGAACAACAAAAAATATTAATGTTTCAAAGATGTATTATGAAAAATTTAACAAATTAACATCTGTTTAATTTTATTTATTAAATAAACAGTTAATTATGTAACAACTATATTTAATCAAATTTGCTAAACTAACTTATAAAATTATTTCCTTCCATACAAGTAGAAAATAGTGATAAGAGAAAGAATAAAACTAAACACAATAACTAGAATATTCAATATAAATTTCTGTTTGTTTCGATTATGTTTTTTTTTTCATTTTTCTCAAGTATTGTTGGTTGTTATATTTGGTTAAGGAAATGTAACCGTCACTGCTACTAGTCTCCTATGTTTTTTGAGAGATGTCAATTTGATGCATATGCTCTCTTTTTAAGTTTATTTTAGAAAGGATTTACAAATTTTAATATATAAGGATGTCTTTTTCAATATTTCTTCTCTAGTTTTTTTTTTAAAATGCCAAGAAATTATACATGGCATGAAATTTGGAATTATTTTAACGAAAGTTTTGATAAAAAACAGCTTTTCTGTAAAAATTGTGATCAACATTACAAACGTAATTTTTCTGTTGTTGTTAGAATGAAAAAGCATTATAGGTATTCTCATAATGAAATTTACAAGCAGTTTGAAAACGATGATAATGAGTTAAAGGAAGTTCCAATTCATAGGCAGCAAATTATACTAAATAATTCTGTTAAATGTAAATATAAGATTGTTTGTGATGATAGGGAATTTTTTGTTGAAACAAAAAAACTTTTAATTGAAACGATTAAAATTTCTTAATATGTTTATTGTTGTTTATTAATTTTAAATATATCAATTTAAGCAAACGAATTTGGTGAAAATTTGTAATTTGTCAAATTATTATTTAAAATTATATCAATTTCATTTTCTCTTTTATCTTTCAAGTTTAAAATTGTC